ACTGTTTGCACAAAATATCATATCCGAACAATATGTAAACATTATCTGAGCGCTACACGCGCGTAGCTCAGGCAGAGTGAGGGCTTACGGCAAATTTTCACCACTAGCGGTGTGAGACAAAGTTGTCCGCTGTCACCTTTCCACTTTAACTTCGCTATTGACGAAGTCACGGAAACAGCGTTCGCTGAACGCGACTTACAAGGTGTAGAGCTGCTTCCTAGTGAGCGACTTCTTGGCTTGGAGTATGCAGACGACATTACCCTCATCTGTGACAGCTCACAAACGTGCGAAACTTCACTGGACAGATTAGCGCTGGTTATCAGCATTTTATGACTATGTTTTGCACCCTCGCCTCTTGCGCCGACCCTTGGTGGGGATCAGCTAGAAGTCGTTCAAAAATCTAGTACCTTGGCAGCTATATTAGCGCCTCTGGGATTGAAAACGAGGTCACGAACCGCATAACGAAAGCTCGAGACGATATTGCTAACCTTCGCCATCTATGGCTCCGGCGCGACATCACTATTCCTGAAGGGTAGAGTTTACAATGTAGCCGTACGTTTAACCCTTCCATACGGTTGTGAAGCCTGACCCATTAGATCGGCAGACATAAAGAGGCTAGTTACGTTCGACCACCTGTGTCTTCGCAGTTTGGCTCCTATCTGGTGGTAACACCGGGTGATCAATGAGCGTGCTCGACGCCTTGATTATGGCACAGAAAGTGGACCGCTCAGAACCGTTATATCACGCATCTGGCTCCGATGTCTGGGCCATGTGTTGCGCATACTATCTCATCGGCTCCCATGAGGTGTTTTGGTTTCGCGCCGGGGTTGTGGTTGGAAGAAGAGAAGGGGTGGTCAAGCAACTACTTAGTCAAGAGGAATGAAGGCCGTTATTTCGAATGAGACCTCTGGAGCCTCTCGACTCCCTGGTTGGGGTCCGGAAGACGGTGAACACTCTTGGCTGGATACACTTGATGATATGGCTAGGAGGCGACCTCAGTGGCGTTTGTGTTGGGAGTTTCTTTGTCCCTCTCCCTCGCACCTGGCCTTCTCCTCCAACCCCTATCTCATTTCCAAGCATAATTTAAATTTTACACAATATAATTTTTTGCGACACAATACCGGCTGGTAGCTTTCCGGAACGATGCCCACCTGTTACTGGTGGATTAGCTGGCGTGCCTTGGTTGCATGTTTTTTCTTTCCTTGTGTACTGCAGCACAGTAGTTGTGGTGTTTTTCACCTCCAGCTGTGTATGATGGTGATGACGATAAGGTCGTCCCCTCAAAACACCACAATCGGCACGAAGGATATAGGCTTTTTTACTGTTTACGTTGGTGGAGTGGGTACGATCCATAGTTACAATAGATTATACACACCCTGGTGAACTCCACTGTCGTGTTGTAGATTAAGCAACAATGACCTACCCAGGCTTTCAAAGTCATTGGAATAGTCATGGAAGAGAAGCCGTATGTATTTATATTTTTGATCGAGTGCAGTCGCTAGATACTGAACAAGATATGCCACTGCGTCCAGCCCTAGGGGTCTATATCCAAACTGTCAGATATCGTCAACAGGGCTGGCTGTGAAAATCCGCGAAATTAGTTGTTTTATGAAAGTTTTCAGAAACACAAATGTACACACAATTGGGCGATGCTTTAGAGATTCATATTTGGGTACTCGGTTTATTATTATGTCCGATCTCCAAGTGTCTGGGATCTCATCCATAGTGAGGAATTTGTTAGAGAGGTTTCTTAGAGGTAGTGTAAGATAATCAGTACGCTCTTTCAAGACTAATGATGAGAGGGTATACGCATCACTAGTTTTGTCTGACTTTAATCTTTTGATTTCCTTGTGAACATTGCTTCAGTCGAAGTGCGCAGTTAGACTTAAGATAATGCAAAAGAGGACAAGGGAATGCTAAAATACGCATTCCGTTTGTTCTCTATTGGGGAGGCGAAACTGCCGAATACTAACATGCAAATTAACGGTTCTCTAGGCCTGCCAACAAGTGGGCTAACTCAGTGAAGTCTCGCTCGCGTAAGTGGGCGTATCGAACACCCAGTCAGACGTATAGACGTTATGTGAGCCGTGTCAAAATTTCTGTGTCGTAACATGCGAGAAAACCTTTCGGGCGTCAAACTACCAAAGGACCAGAGACGTCAAGCCTTAGAACTGTGTCACTGCTCCCACGGATGTGACCGAGTCTACGTGTTGGTCAGGACGCTCATGCGACAGATACCAAGCGAACTTGGCATACGAGGACGGAAGTTTACAGTCAGAATGTCAGTATGATTGCGTTTGTCTGACTTATACACATGACCATGAATAATTCTAATAAATCCTCTCTTGTCAGTCAAGTTGTCCCTCCTAACTTTCCCCGGTCAAGTTAAGCACAGCGCCAGGCAGTGAGCAGAGACAGATCAGTGTTACGACAGTAAGCGTTTACAATAGTCCACATCCGCTTCACCGTTCTGGCTGTAGGCGCTTTTACCATAGAGCTGCCTTAGAAGCCGTAATAGAGCATCACAGTTATGGTTATTTAGCCTCTATCTCAGATTTACTTACAGAGGTTGGTCTGTTGACATGCGTAGACATGTTACATTTATAAGCGACTGTCTTGCTTGTTATTTTTGACACTGTCTGGCACAAAGAGCGAGTATTCTCTGATTGTGGATTGCCAACCACTATTCCCAGCTGCATAAAGTACTAGAGGACGTCATGTGCAAATCATCGTGGTTTAAATCTTACCTTAATTCCTTCTAACTACTCATCCGCGTGCTCCGGCGGTGGTCCGCTGATCCTCATGAGAGTGGCGGAGCTGTAAATACCAGACAAAGAGTGCGTTCTTCACATTTTTGCGCTTCATCAGTTGCTTATACGTCCATGTGCTTACAAGCAACCTATCGTGGTAATCTTTCTGGACATAAAGCCTGCTCCTGATTCCATTAGCCGTATATGTTCGTGACGATTTCTTAGGTTGAAGAATGCTTGAAAAGTTCCAGTCTTCTGACATCTCTATGCCACAACTACTGGAACCCTCTCAAGGTCTTCCGAAAGCTATCCCATGATTTAACCACGACAAGGGTACTTCGTTAGGCTAACACCATCTGTCCCTTTCTCCTTCACTTTGGGATAGAAAATATCATGAATGGCTCCCTATTTTCTCCTTCTCTTCTGTCGAATGACTGTTAAACATGGAGCACTCGTTTGATGTTGCTCATAGGATCTAACCCAAATGCTATGCAAGCGCTATTATGTGAGCTGACGCTTAACTCTGCATACTTCGAGGTGCACCTTTGCACTTTTAAAGTACAAAGCACTTTTAATCGTTCGACCCCACTGATCCTGGTTTGCTTACCCCGGTGGCTGTGTCACCTGTGGTGGTCGTATGACCGATGTAAGTCTATTGGTTAAAGGTGTATACGACGTTGCAGTGCAGCCGGTAACTGTACGAACAATAGATGTAGCCACTACAGTAAGAACATTCGAAGATTTTTACCATGTACACCCACCGATGCCTATGTGGTGGATGATGGAAACGCGGAATGAACAACATTGAAATCCGTCATCTATTGTCTAGTAATAGACCTTCCGGTGCTTCATGAGAATATCTGCTGTATCCGGACCGCGCTTGCTGGCTAGATCATGCGTTTGGAATGCCAGCAGGCCGGTTTCGTCAGCGTGTATTCTTTTCCGATGCTATGATTAGTTGCGTTGAAGCTCGAAGGTGGCCAACCAATCACACTGTCAAGAAGCATGATGGAACTACATCCAGTTAGTGCTTCTTGTCCGTCTGAATAATGCCCCTCCGGGTCAGCTACATCGGTGGTTTGGATACTCTGTCGGATCCAGTGCAGTCACGAGGCCAGTGACGCTATTGTATTTGTCCCATGTAGCGAGTTACATGAAAACAAATTACTCTGGGATTATTATTGTTCGAGATGGTATTCACAGCAGAGGGATCCACACCACCTCGGTGCGCGGATCAAAATGGATCAACTGGGCTGAACATTGAATTAATTGCGAAACGTGGCGGCGAAGATGGCGCGAAAAGCATATAGTCATCTGCCCTATCATCGTCATTCGTAGGCCCGTCTGCTTGATAGTACCGATCGTAATCTCAAGTATTCGACCACTCTTCTGCCGTCTTCCACGTTTCTGTCGACATTCCACTTAAACTTCCCATCTTCCACTCTAAATCGGTCTCTATTCGAGGTAGTTGCAGAGTAGATTCGACGGGATGATACGGATTTACGATGTCTGATACAGAACAAGACGAGGATTTGTTTCTTAGGTATTCAGCTCTCCGTTTTTGTCAAATATTTGTGCTTTTTGACCCTTATAATCGCAGTCATGTTCTGGAAAACTGTTTGTACATATTGGCTGTCCAACTCTTCGGCGGACAAATGGACTAGGGGGGCTTGTGTGTCTTTTCTGATCGATGATATTGTGATTTTTGTCTATCCAATATGCCGTGGTCTACTGCGTAGTCTAAAGTGTTATCATTTTTCGACATTCGTAGTACCTTGAGCATTATTCTCCTACTTGACACATTCATCACTCTTTAATGTGGAAACGCATCGTCCGTATTCGGGAAACGGTCGCTTACTATTTGATACCAATCATGTACTGTTCTTCGGAGAGCCCAGATTATCCGAGGGAGGCTTTGGGTGATCAAGTCATATCCGGAACCACATTATGAAAATTGACTCCATGGAGGCTATTCATCTTCACTGTTAGGGAACACGGTTGCATCATTTCAGCTGTTGGCTTACTCCATGGATTATTTGTTTTTTTTCTCCAGTTACGGAGCCCATACTCCTGTGTCTACTTTTCACCTCATTCCCAACAATCACCAAAAATTTCCTTGTTGTCTCGTATTTGCAATTGTTCCTTGATATGAATTAAACGTCTAATTTGTTTCGCGTATTTACAAGATCTGACTATCAAGTGTGACTCGAGCCCAATCTTGTCTGTTCTCGCTTTTCCACTCCTCCGCAGATGTCGTCCCCCATAGGTATCACAGCTTTCCCGGATGGCGAGAACTTGACCCGATGGCTGGCTTCTATTCAAGGTCCCGATGAGACGGTTTGTTTACCCCGTCTTTTTAACTCTTTTTCTGCCATGTTTCCTCATAGGGTATCATCTCACTATTGGTTTACCGTAGCCCCCCCCCCCCTCGCGCACTTGCACCGTGCTGGTCATCGTAACTGTTTTAGAATGCCGAACAACACGCTAACTCAGGACCGTAGTTTCTACATTGAATCGTTTGAAGATGAAATGCGTGCTCGGTTGATTTCTGGTCGAAAGACTTCTCTGCCAAACTACGGTGCTGCTTTGTTTATATGTGACCAACTTGGTGGAATATTCTACGTTTGAATCTGGCCACCGAAGTAAATTTACAACCTGGTCCAACGCCAAATAACCGTTAACTGTAGTCCAGGTTGTGATCTGCACAACTGATTGAAACGAATTCACCTGCTCCCGACTGGAGTTGCCAGGGGGATAATATTAGCGCATTAACAATATAAAGAATACTACAATCATCACAAAGGCTAATTGAGAAAGGCTGAGAGATGCTGGAATCGATGGTCAGGATGACTAACCAGTTAAAGATGCTGACAACTTAAAAAATTTTCCGCTTCAAATGGAATCCATACTCATATCTGTATCTGGTCCCCACTTCATAGATAGAGCTCACCCATTCACACAGCTCCTTGATGTTCAGGTGATCGTCCTGCGATTTCATTTATTGCTATGGGATAATTGCGAACAACACACCCTGGGGTTGCAAGATGCATTTCCAAGGACTGCACCGCTCGTCACCATCGTTCGGCCACCTCTGGAGTTGGTCGATCGGTTTGCTTATCTAGGTAGCTGCACTACCCCTTTATGATCACCTCATCGGATAGTGTAACTGAATATTCTGTGTCGGTGGCGTACTGTTAAGTGATCAGCTAAGGACAGCGTATAACAACTCGTGACTATTTTTACTGTGTGCATCAGTAATACGATTACTGTGTGCTGATAACACAACAATCGATGTATTATCGATCGTTTTTAACAGCCAGTGCTTATGTAGCGTAGCTCATATCCAGTGGGATCACCGAGGGATCAGCGTGTAAGTCTTTCTGCAACAGATATTTCAACGTCGATGTGGATTGTATTCGTTGGTTCGGTTTCACTTCGGATAGCGCTGTCGGTCATCTACTTCGGCGTTCGTTGTCTGTCAACACTACTTGTGTTTAGATGGAACTCCGAGGTGGGTCGGTCAACGATTTGATGGCAGTGTATGAGGAAACTGACCCGTTACTTAAATGAAGGAATTGAAAACACAACTGCTTATTCTTTTCACCCGTTGTTTCACTCGGTGAGCGCTTTCACGGATCCACACTTCAGTTCAAGTCAACAGACCCAGGCTATTCCGAACAGTACCGTTAGGTTGAATAGCACAATAAGAAGACGAATGTTGCAAGATGGTACCATTTCGTGCCCTCTTTTCACTTGCAAACGGACAACATATCAGATGGTAACGTGACAAAAAAGAAATCAATAAGTTAAAAGCGGGAGGTCACATACAAGCGAGGTAAACGGTGGCTACAGGTTGAGGAGGTATCATTAACTGCAAGTGAGTTTGGGAGTAACGAACAGTTGCTTCTGGACGCACACTGTTGGACAATGCTATTTTATGACCACTACCCCGGCGTACTTAAGGACTCTGGAGTTTGTATTACGATAGATGACACTAAACGCCCAGTTGGGGTCCACCTGATGACCCGTTTCCATTAGGTGTTTCACAATCGAAGAGGCAGGTGTGTTGTTCGTCGACACAGGTCCGGTTTATGGTTGCCTTGTCAAGGTAACGATACGCTTCGGAATGTGCTCCCCAATCCGCTTACACAAGCAACGGTTTGTTCTGCCGATGTAATTGCTTCCACCGTTACGGACAAATCGGTAGATACCGTGCGTTTTGACGGAGACCGGCTTAGTAGGCTTGACTGGGGCAGTGGTAGCTTCCTGGTTGTCCAGAAAGGGTAGAATTTATCGGCACGGAATGCACGTCGTAGTGCAGCTGTTGTGCTTCGTTCTACCTGCCTAACCAGAACATCATCTTTGAAGTGTAGCCGCAGGTAAACAGGCATTTTTGGTACAGTGAGAACGACCGGCTGTTCACTTTCCACGGGGCGGCTATGAAACCTAATAAAGGCTTCTGAGTAGTCATTTGCCCGTAGGGTCTGCGTGATGAATTGCAATACAGCCTCGATGCATTCCGTAATGCATATCCTGCAGGCCCGATTGAACAACGCTTTGATAAGGCATCGTTTATATCGAACCAATGTAAACTGCTGAAGTGTTCATATACATCGATCCATGTTGTTTTCCGGGAAACAGGGTGCTGTTTCGTGCTGTTATTATTCTCAACTTGATAAGTGATGCGGGCATTTGGGTGTGCATCGTTCATAACTCTGGGAAGGGACTGAACCGCCTCTAAGGATGGTGCGATCACCAATGTGTCGTCCACGTACCTCTTGTAAAGGCACATTCGTCCGAGGTCTGGCTCACAGCGCGACTCGACCATCGCCATGAAGATGTCCGCCAGCAGAGGGCCAAGGGGACTCCCCATAGGCACGCCATCAACCTGTCGATATGTCTGCCCCTCGAACATAAAGGACACATTTTCCGTGCAGAGTAGCAACAAGCCCTTGAGACACTCTACAGGAATCATCAGAGGCCCTTTCTCACTAGTGACAAAGTCACATAAGAAATCCACTGTTTTTCTCAGAGGAATGTTGGTAAACAAGGACTGTACATCCACGGAAGACATCACCTTGTCCGAAATGTTAATTCCGCGTCACTGTTCAATTAACTCAAAGGTATCTTCAAGGTATGCTTTACTATCATCTTTCTAACTGGCGTCAGTAGTACAGCTAGCGAACACGCTCGCTTATGGTACGGATAATATTGGTCTGAGCAGAACGTTATCTTTATGAATCTTGGGTAAGCCATACATCTGGAGGATGTCGGTTCCCAATTGCTTAAGAGCGTTGTGTCTCACCTGTGTTATCATCCCACGAAACAGTAGTGTTTTCAGCTATTTGGTTACTCTTTTCTAAATTTGTGTTATGTTGTTTGCACTTTCGTCCACATGAAATTTTGACTTGCTGTTCAGAATCTTTTCCATCTTGTTTTTATAATCCGACTTATCCGTGATGACCACTCCAGCAGTGCCTTTGTCCGGTTTCAACACCATTAAGCGTTTGGTTCTACAATCACGCAGCTTTTTGATGTGATTGTTATGCAGGCAGCAGGATTGACGAATCGAAGCCATCATGAAACCTCTTGTGATGTTAGCTAGCTTAACTTTGAGCCAGTTACAGTTCTCTTGAGCTGTTGATTTTAGCTTAGAGAGTTGCTCAAGTAGGTTTTCAAATTGTGCCGCAACCTGAAAGTCATTGATTTTCTTTGGGGAGATTTTGAACTGTACACCTAGCCTATTGATTTCAATTTTGTCACGTCATTTGATATGTTATCCGTTGGCAAGTGAACAGAGGGTACGAAATGGAACCATCTTGCAACATTTGTCTTCTTATTGTGCTATTCAAGTTAACACAGGGTTCTCAATGCTTCATAGTACCGTTAGGCTCGTGCTTACGACGCATTTACGATCTCGACTGGCTCTGAACTCTGATGTTGAAGACACTCGGAAGCCGGAAACTTATTGCGACTGTTTTCGTGATCCTCATGCTCTAATCAGTTACTCGATACGCCAAAGTTCATACTTTTCAAACGGAGTTGATGGACAGTTTCCGACACGTTCTGGCCATTCGTCTTGAATCTGGCCGTTCAGCAACAGCTAGCAGACCTATTGCTTTTGAACGCGCGTTTCATCCTTTCGGGAATCGTTAGCACTGCGCATTCCATCGGATCCTGGTAGGAATCGAATCCACAACTCGACTGTTGCCAGTCCGTGGTTGAGACCACTGAGCTACGGGGGACGGCAACGACCATCGTGAATAAGTTACTAGAGGGGGCTACCCTGTCCTCTGCACGGCAGTAACTTGTAAGTCAGTGGATAGTGAGCGGCTCTATATCACATCTAGTAACTTATTCACCATGGTCGTTGCCGTCCCCCGTAGCTCAGTGGTCTCAACCACGGACTGGCAACAGTCGTATTGCGGGTTCCAGCCCTACCAGGGTCCGATAGAATGCGCACTGCTGACGATTCCCGAAAGGATGAAACGCGCGTGCAGTGCTTTTCCGGGCGTGTGGTAGCTATCTGAGTAAGTCTAGATATGACGAATTTCTACCTATACCATTCAACTTCCCTACTACTCTTCTGTATCGTGAAACTGGGTGATGCACTTAGAATCTTATGTTAACATTTTCATTGTAACCAAATGGATGAGGGCTGTCGAATCTAGTCGCCCACTTGGAATCCATTGTCGGTAGTTTGCAGTATTGCAATCAGTTTGGCTCTATAGAACTTTTTCTGTTGGGTAGCTACCAGGTAAGACCATGCGCACATTTGTGCTGTAAAGCCGTACCGCTGAGATAGTCGGCGCTTGTCAGCGTGGCTAGGCTCTGGGGCGGCCTGGTGTTAGTAGGCGGCCCTTTAGCACCAAGCAACCACTTTAACTGCATGACAATATATAGCTTTATAATGCTTGAGCCTTTTTCCAGAACCGTGTGCGAGTAGGCTTAAGAACGCCAATGCTGAGCTGTTTCCTTCTGGGTTGTACTGTCGCTGCCGTTGTTACCACAGGACACTCAAACGATTGATCAGTTCATGGGGTTCCGCTAGACCCTATCTAGCATGTATCGCACAACCTACGACTGGACTGACAGTGACACACTGCTAATTCATATTGATCTGTGCATCGGCACTGTGCGGGGTGAGATGTGTGCATATTTCAATGCTTTCGAACTACTCGAGATGTATTTCAAAGTAAATCGCCATCCAACTGGAGACCACGTACATCCCCAGAACACACCTGGTGCTCCAAAGTCCTAGTGCCAGTCGTGGAGTGTTTAGCAACACGTGGGCTTGTAGTCTTCCGAAACGAAATAGAGAATGCCGTTTTGCACGC